AATGGGAATGCAGTATCAACAACTGACACAACCAGAAGTTGAAGAAAGAAATATGATGGAGATTCCCTGATATTCCTCTGTGCTGCAATATTTGGAGAAGATCTGAGGTGGTCTCAGTCCTTGACTGAGGGATTGCACAAGCTTCTTCTAACTTCCCTGTCTCACACACACCCAATTTCTATTTCTGTATGAAGGAAGATATATATTTTACTGCAGATTGACTGTAGCTTCTTGGTGACTGAACTGCCTGAAGAGAAGTGGTTGGGTTTGGGCATTCAGCTACCACTCATTTATCAGGGGATTGGATATCAGACCCTTCAGGCATCTCAGATGTATTGGAAAAATCAAGTTACAGAAGCAGGAATTTATATACGTTTGTTTGGTTTTCTTTTAAAATTCTAACTGTAAACAGTGAAAATTATTCATTCACTATCTGACTCAATCACCTAATGGTCTCTGTCTCTACAGCCGGAACTATAAAGACCTACCATAGCTATAAAACCGAGATAATTGCCCGTGATGCTTTTCTTCTTATGTAAAAGTAGCTTTAAAAACAGATTCTTGTGTCGGGAAGCTCTACAAGATTATCTTCAATAACCCACTGGGAGGATTTCATCAAGCTACCATATATTACACCCAATGACTTTTTTTGTAATCAAATCATATCTTTCAGAGAATGACCAAGCTGGAGCATCCCCAGTTTCCCTTACAGGTTTTGTCCATGAATAATCAGCAGCACTGCATCCTACTTACTATGTTCTATCTTTACACCGTTTGTCAAAGGATGCATAAAAGTGCTCAAACAATGGTTTCAAGCACTGTCCCCGTTGTGCCTGCACTTCACCCTCCTGGTGACCACCACCCTCCACCATTTCAGTCGAACAACCTTTTAGAAATAAGACCATGTATTTTCCTAATCCACATTTTGTCATTCTTCCTTTCAAGCTTATGCAGCAATTTTGAAGCTGCGTTAACCTTCCTATGACCTTGAAAAGGTAAGGGAAAACCCTATGTTAACAATTCTTCTCTCTCCTTATTTGGGTAAACTAGAAGCCATGAGAGCCTTTTATTGACTTTCACTACAGTTTTCACCCTTGGCAGTACAACTGAACCTGCCCTGACCTCTTTTGACCAAACGCCTTTGTCCAACAAACTGTTCAAAGCATCTTGCAGCCAGATGTGAGCCCCCACACCCTGAGTGCATAGGCTTGACTGTACAGATCTCCTGCTACCTCCCCTTGACTGCTTGCACCGCCAGCAATTGCCTTCAGCTTGCTGCCAGCTGGCCTGATTCTGAGATAAGACCCACTGGCCGGGTTAAGAAAATGACACCTGATCGTGGGGCTGGTCTTGTTCCCATGAGCTTCACCCTCTCAGAAGGCTCAAAAAAACCCACTCCATGCTGAAGGAAATAAAAGCAGCACCTTCAGCAGGCGGTGGGAGGAAGGCATGCAGCCCCCTCTCTTCTAGCAGGGTTTGTTCTGCCTGTTCCCCAGAGAAGTAGAAGACTTAATTTGCAACCACACCAGCTACAAAAGGGGAGCACTGAAGTGGGAAGAGAGTCCTGAAAGCTGCATAATGCAATGTATCTGCTTCTCACGGAATAAAATAACACTGTCTTTTTTGAATGGACATTCACTCAGCCTGAATGGCAAAAGGTCGCAAAGACATCACGCGTCCTCCCCTTGTTTGTCTTTCTTAAAAGCTGTGCAGACTCCTAGTAGCTTATGACTGATGTAGAACTGGCATGCACAGAGCTTGGTTACCTGATTGTGCAGCTCATGGCTGTCAGGATGTAGACAAACCTAGAATTAATAGAAATAATAGAGATAAATAGAAAGAGACAATGGCCTCTGAATGAATGCTTGGACAGAGCTTGTGTGATTTCTGTCAGCTTTGGAGAAGATGTAGGCTTCAGGTTTGTTATCAGCTCTTATAATACCTTAACTTGTTTGAGCCATGCTCTATTTCTTGTACTCTTTGCATTATTTTATCCTAGATTTCTATGAGCAAGAATACAAGTGATTGTCTTCCCCCTTGTTCACCAGCCATTTTCACCACGTTCTAGTCTTTTGTGTTCTCATCGACAAGCAGAACAAAATATTTCTTTCAGTCCTATTTTGATCCTGTTTTGAGTCATTTCCCAATGCACTCTGACATTCCCGTGTCTCTCAGCAACAACTTTTTGTTTATCAGCTTTATCCCTAACTCACACAATATTGAAAACCTCAACACCACAAACAGCGCATATGACGTCTTTACTCTGATTCCCCTTATTCTTAGCTGCCATCTCTGTCTCACTACTCCACTTGAGTATATCCAACATCTGGAAAGCAGATCAATTCCTGAAGTCAATCTGACTCACATTATCTGGAAATAGCCTGGTTCCATTATAACAAGACCTTCACTGCCCCATTGCCTTCATGGCTGAAAGACATCTCAGCCAACGGGGGCACGGATTAATGTCCTGAAGGGAAAACCTGCAAACCTTCTAACAAGCTTTTTCTTCTCTGTATAAAGAACCATGAGCAACAAAGCTTCCTCATAGATCTTCAGTTAAGCGCTCAAAAATATATTTTCATGGGTCTCATTTTTAAAAGAAGAGTCTCCCATTCTAAAAATACCTGTTTAGTAACAAGTCTTCTGGAAGGAAATGCTCGCTACCAAGTCTGAGCTACAAGACAACCAAACTTCTGACAGTAAATACTGACATATCCCCACCTGGCAAAAATAATGGGTATTTGAAAGTTTAAATATTCACATACCTGTGAGACTTTCAGCCAGTCCTCCAGGATGTAATATTGCTGATAGTCCTTACCAAAAAGAAAAAAAAGAAAAAGGAAAAAAAGCAACCAAAATATGAAACCTTCTTTCTCACCCCTTCGACCCCCCGTCAACACTGCTCATTTGGATCAGGTGTTTTTGAAGTTTGCACATGGCAGTCTCATTTGCATTTAATGTCCTTCAGATTACTTCCTTTTTGTTGTGCTAAACACCTCTCTCAGTTGAGTCTAATTTGATGAGGTCATGCTGTGACTCCTGACCCCCTGGGTTCTAAATGAAACCATCTGACAAAAAAGTGAGTAGAGTGAGTCTTTTGCCTATTCGTGGACATTTGATATTTACAGATGTGCTGCAAGTTTTACAGACGACTCTTTTGCCAGGCTAACGTTTGACTGCAGAGGTGGAAAGAAGTGCATTCCATAAAGAGTAAAGTCAAGTCCAAGAATAAACAGGTCACAGTAATCCAGTCTCCACAACAACACTGTGATTCTGTGACTAGCTAAAAGAATAAGTCAGAAGTAAGTATGGCTGGTTATCTAAGTCCAGGGAATCCTACATCCTAGCAAAGCTTTTCCACTCCAATAACGACTTAATATCTTGGAGTTTTCTCCAAATGCCTGTGAATGGATGCACCTGTGTGGCTTGACACGGAGACCACAGGGCTGTCTGAAGGCTCATCATGCACAGAGAAAGCCTCCACCTGCTTTGTGCTGTTGTACCCATAAGGGAAGGCTGAAGAAGTGAGTTTTTATCTCCAGTTGCCTGCAGCTGTGTTATGCAGGAGGTCAGCCTGGATGGTCTCGCAGTCCTCATCTGGCCTTAAAAGTCTGGATTTGTTACTACAGCTTTGAAATGCTTTCAACTGCTGATCACTTCATTCCGGGCTAATTTTATGTAGAGTCACTGGAACACTAACACATATGGTCCAAAAAAATGCCAAAATGTTATTCTAGACTTCTCTGTCCCTGAAAAAGAGCCAAGTTTTACAAGAATATTATGGTATAAAACTGGAAAAGGAAATCAATAAGCTCAGAAATTTCTTCAGAATATTTTTTCAGTGTTCCTGTGCTCATCACCCATTACTTTGCAAGGCTGGAATTGAGATCATTCTTAAACAGTATTTGGGTTTCGGCCAGAATTCACTGAAACTGTCAGAGAGAACTCATCAGACGAGACCATATATCTCTTTTTGTTTGCAATACTTCCTGTGCCAACTCTTCCTCCTTCCACATACAAAGATAATTTTCCCTATGAATTGTACTGCTAATTGTTCAGCTGCCTGTGGTATTGCATGCCTTCCACAGCAACACTATTTCAGAATTATCTGACTGTAGTAAATCATCTTGAGATATACCGTAATTAAGTAGGAATATGCAAAGCTTCAGACAGATTATCTTTGAAATGCATCAAAGTACATTATATTATAAAAATATTAGGAAAATCTGTAGGTCATATATTCACTAAACTCCTCTACCTTATATGAAAATGAGTCATTTTCCATCATACCCTGAGGGTGAGGAAGCTGTCAGATGAAGAAATAAAAGACACTGCTAGTTAAGAGGAGCAGACCATGCCAAATTACTAATTAAAATTTAGATATGTTTTTGTGTGGAGAGCAGGTGCATGTGCTAAGAGCTTTTCCAAAACTGGACCAACTTTTATCTCGCTTATTTCGAAATGATTTTTTACAGACCTGAGTAAGAGCCACAAAGACAACGTATTAGTGAAGCAGATTCTTAGATGTACACATGTTAAAGATGAAACACTGAAAATTGTGTCTTAACTTACAGGAAGCATGTTTTCAATTAATCGAAAAGCATTTTTAAAGAGTTTCGTTGATCAAATCGGGCTTATATTATTCAGGAGCAAGATATGGATATGTAATTATATTTAGTTACATCTTTACACAGCTTTAATTCTTGCACTTTCAAGACCCGGTATCTTTTCTGTTGTCCACTAAATTATCTGTACAGGCTATAATGGGACAGAGGAAAGTTGCCACTGCTGTTTTCAAGATTATGGTTCTAGCAAATTTTACATACCTGAACCTGAGCTGTTTTTTAATGTATCAGTTGGATAGAGTAGTAGTTTAAATCCTTCTTCGTAAGTAAATGTATGAGATTTTGGAATGTTTTGATGCAACCATTTCTATTCATATATCTTCAAATCCACAGAATTATTTGGAAATGCATTACTCCCACTGCTTTCAACAGGAATCACAGGACCAAGCACAGGAGGAACTGTAGCAGGTCCTTGTCAGAGAGAACTGCCAAGACTCCAACTCTGCAGAAGGACAACAGGATCTGAAGGACTCACAGCCACACAGCCCAAACTGACAAATGGAGTTCAATGAGCATATTGGAAAGGTGAGATTTTACAAGGAAAAAAAAAAAGAAAAAGAAAAAACATGCATACATATGGATACATATGGATGTGACATTTTAACTTCGTTGTTTCGACTTAAAGATGCAGGAATCTAAACTTGCATCTGGAATTACATATAAAATGCATATTCATCAGGATTATAGCAAATTTGGGCCTAAAGAAAGATTGAGATTTTCCTTGTATTTTGTCTGCTGCAAAAGAGGTGGGCCAGAAGCAATGTGTGCCTGCTAGCAAGCGAAAGCTTGCTGGTGCCTAAAACATCGGGGGCTTTTTCCAGAATGATTTATCCTTATATTGCTTGAAGATTACTCATGTAATCCTGTTTGTAAAGCTGAATGAAATTGAAACGTGCTTCCTACAAATATCCATCTGAATACTTAAATGAATTTATATATACATATATTTTTTACTATGTTCACATCTCTTTGGTGTTTACTTTTCCAAGAAATTCCTCCAAATGAATTGACAGGCCCAGAGATAACTCTTTCAGAAAAGATACTGGAATATGATTCTTTGTCTGAGTTTTTATAATTATTATTCATATTACAGAAGTATTCAGAAATGCCAATCAGTCTATGAGCCCTATCATGGCAGATCAAATTAAAATGACAAGAATTGTACCAGCAACCTGATCCCATGTATAACACTGTCAATTATAAGCATGGCTCTTCCCCATGGAGGCAGAAATCAGCTGCTTCTGTAACACTCTCAGTTCATAAAACATAAGACAGTAACGATTTCAAGTGAAGGACAACATGCAATATTAATCTTCCGTTTACTTTTAAAGTTTAAATAATTGAATTAACTAGGAAGTAATGTCACTTAAAGTGATCTCAGTAGGTCTTCTGTGAGGATCCCCTTGAACTGAATGGAAATACCCAGGTTTTCAAGGCAACAGTGGATTTGAGAAATTATGTTGCCAGTGTACTATGTCACTGTGGAAAAAAAAAGAAATTAGCCAGTGGAGAGCTGGGGAAATTAATACAGCCTGTGCAAATCAAGGTGCAAATTAAGTGGACAAGATCTGAGATCATTTTCTTGAAGTCAAGCTCTCCCACTTAAGTTGGAACAACTCTTGTGCAGGGCTCCATGAAAGAAAGCACTCCTGCCCTGGAAGGTGGCTGCCTGGCAAAGCAAATAAAACCAGCTCACATGACATGCATTTTCCTTAATAAAAATTTTCAAATAAAGATAAAATATCAAACAAAGTTGAAATTCTGAGAATAAATTTGGAAGCCATATCCATTTCAAAAATCCACCTTAAAATTCCATGCTAGGAATAATAAAATAAGACCATATGGACTTGGATCGACCTATCGTAGTATGCTATTCCAAAGGGCTGAGTCTGGCTTCTCAGCTGTTATCTGCCTTTAGCGACCATTTGACTGCACTGAAGTCAAATTTACCAGGCTTGCTTTTTCACTTTTTGACCTGGTAATCTTGGAGTGTCCCACATGCAATAATTTCATCTAGGATATTTACTAGGAAGCAACACCTGGCAGAGCAGGAGCCCTTCACCCCAGGGGCAGCCCCTGCTCCACCTTTCCTCCCTGCACCATGGGCCCAAGGCACTGCAGACACCTCTGAGACCTCATGGAGAGGCAAGAAGGCGGCTCCATAGCTCTCATGTCCCATGTCTGTGCCACCCAGACTTGGGTCAGGAATTGTCCCTCAGTGAAGGGCCCAAATGCCACCCGAGGCCACAGCAGGGCTTCCTGCTCAGGATCCATCCCCAACGCTGAGCTGAAACAGCCCAGTTTTGTCAACCCTCAGGACACGCTGCAATGCAGATCTGTTTTCCCAAACTGAGAAAAACTGGGAGAACTCTGGCAGGAGATCACAAAGACTGGAAATTTCTTTTCATCTGCTAGGTTATGATTTATGTTAATGATTGGGCAAAGGAAGGATGGGAACGGCAGAGCAGGCTGTGTGTACAGCAAGGAGGTCTCCCCAGACTGTGGGAAGGAGTGCTCGGTGTAGGAACGGAGCTTTCCTTGGATATAAAAAAGCCACAGGAAGGGGCAGGTGAGTGCATGGCAGATCCATCAGACAAAATCCTCTCTCTGCGCTAAGCACAGGAGAAGCAATCATCACTTCTCCATGTAAATAATAGCCAGAGCTGTTACAGAGCCTGCCAAGAGAATTGAGCCCTGCAGAGATCCCCTGTGCAAAATATGTTCCTTCCAGCTTTGCTCAGGGGACTAGGCTTTGGCTGCAAGACACAAGCAAAAGATCCAATTCAGTGTCAATTACATATGAAAGGAAAGCACCTCTTTTCCTCTGTTTCGGTGTGTACTTCTTTCTGAAACTGTTGCTTGCTTCACTATATGCTGAGTTCACATGCACTGTAAATTTCAAGACTGAGAGACCAATAAGAGCCTCACAGATTCACACATGTACTTTTCATACTCACAGAGTCTACATGACTTCAGCAGCAGCTTCTTTTCTCACTCACTGATGTCTAGGAGATGGTGGAAGGAGTGGGAAGGAGAGGCAGGAGCAAATGGCAGGGAAAGACCCAAGCACTGAAACACCACAGCCCAAATCCTTCAGGGATCAGCAGCCCCATTCCCATTTACCAGCTAATGATGATTAGCACTTCAGCTATGTATGCTAGCACAGATTCAGGAGAAACTTGGAGTGAGAGTCCACAGATGACACAATCACACTTATCTTCCTAATGAATTGCCTATGAGCAACCTGAACCAACCAAGGGAAAATGCTGCCTTCCAGGCATGCTGGAACATTGCAGACAGGTTAGACCTGGGCCACTTCACCTTAAACTTCAGTTTGTTTAGAAGTCTCTTCAGTTTGGTACTTTGCAGTAAAAACAAAGCTTCTGCATCACGTGTACTGAGCGTTTGTCTCTGCTTGGGCTAACAGTGCCTTCAGTCTAGATTTCCTGTTTGTGATCCTCAAACCTCCCACGAAGACCAAACTCACTGGATCAAACACAAACAGATGACCAAGGACATCCTCACCACTCCTACCCCTCTGTTTCTCTACTGTCACACCTTTCTCCAAAGGGACATCTCAGTTTCTGTGCAACTGTCTGCCCTGTGCTCCTACAGGTTCCTTCCACCAGCCCTAGTTCTGTGTCAGAGGCACAACAGCTCCAGACTGGAATACCACTGAGAAGGGGCTGGAAGGGTATAGAAGCTCAGTGGGAACTAAATGGTAGCTCCAAAGTGACTTACGAATAGGTGATGCTGCCCACTCCTGCCCCACACCAGCAGCAGATATTGTAGCAAAGATGACCTTCCACTTAGTAAACCCTAAGGGCTTTACCTTAGTTTGAATGCCCCTTTCTAAAAACACCACAAAAAACATCAAAAAGAAAACTTACATCCAACAATCTGAAGGACTTTCTGCACATTAATTAACCCTGCATCACCCAGAGCGAGGCAGGGAAGTGTGGTTAAACCAATTACATGGAAGATGAAGAAGAGGAACCGGAGGTTAAATGCCTTGCAGATGTGGGGAGCGCAACTCAGGCTTTCTGGCTCTCAGTCTCAGATTGGCTTCCCGGGAGAACTGGAAGTGAAACTTTCCCTGTAGAGCTGTTGCTGTATAAAATCAGCTTGGCAGCGTGTGACAGGCATAATCCTTTTCCCATATGTTTTATTTTCTATAAATAGAAAAACATCTCATTACCATTCGGTAACTTAGTAAGATAAGGAGAACGAACAAACAGACAAACAAATATCCAAATCATTTCCAGAGAATTGCTTAAAAATCCCACGCAGCCCAGGAGGGCAGAACTGGATTTAGCACTCTTGCTTCTGATTTTGCATCACCTGCATTTATCAGGAAAGTATTTCTCCAATCTGCAAGGAGTGGTTGAGCCCATCGCAGCACCCTGTTAGCAAAACAGGCCATACGATGCACCCACAGTATTTCAGTTGGGTTTTATCACAGCAACTGTGTAGTCCCAACCACAGTCTTTGGAAGCCCACAGCCACAAGGCCAGGAGATGAGATGCTTTTTGTGTTTGTGACATTCGTGCCCCATGCCAGAACCCTCCCTCTATCCCTATGAAACCACAGTGGATTGTTACCACCATTATGGCAGTGTTACAGATTTGTAGGCATCTCCCATGGTTCTGAAGATGCAGTGCTGCTGGGATTGTTCTGAACAGTTTATCGTGGTATAGCCTTGCAAATTAGGGGATGAGATAGTCTGTCCTTGACATTAAACATGTAATGTGCACGCTCTCAATTATTTTAGTCCCAATTAAAATAATCTTTCATACAATTAGACTAGAAAGAAAGAGATTCTGTTTTGTATTTGATAATTGGCTGAAGGTTTCTTAAACACAATAAAGCATGCAAGAACTGCCACAATAAATTGGACATGAAACCATTTTGCCCAGAACCCTTCCATCAGTAGATAGAAAGAAACATTTTAAAGCATCACGAAGACGAGCCTGCACAGGAGGGAACAGGAAAACAGCAATTTAGTTTGATCCAGACATTTGAATTTTCAAAAAATAGTTGCTTTTTTTTTTTTTTTCTAATTCATAATGAAAAAAAAATCAGAATAAAGAAAGTAGAAAAGTTTTCTAATGAAATAGGCAAGTAAGGTGGGAGAGACTACTCAGGGTGAATGAATTGGGCACTACACCATTGTAGCTGCAGATCAGTCGCTGTCTTCCCATCTTTGGTTCAAAAAAATCTTCCCCAAAACATATGCAAAAAACATATGCATTTCAGGTACGACAGAATGGTATTTATTCCCCCCCCAACCACCAATTCTTTTTTTTATGGCCGCTTTTGAAAATTCATGGAACGTTTTAAGACCTGTTCCTTCTTCCTCTAATTAACATCTTTATTTAAATGTGAGAGAAAATGTCATTGTTTGTTATGTTATACAGGCTGGTAAGAACACCACCAAATCTGCACCTCCCTTTAGAAAATATTGATTTTAGGTCATCTTTTTGGTGGTTTTTTTTTCCCTTCTCAAAAATAAACCACCTCATTCTGCATCACGCAGAAACTCACTATGACTCCAACAACTGGAGCTTCCAATCTCTAAAGCACTCCCACATCTGCTGCAGAACCAGTCTACCTCCAGACACAGGTTAGACAACAAGAACCATCAGGGCTTGAATGAAACCTGGGGGTGCATGCACACAGTGACACAGTCCTTTCCCATAAAAATTTCAGGGCATTTAAAGGATTTTCAAGAGTATGAGTTCCTAAAAATTCTCGTTTCCATTCTAATGCATTAGTGATTCATTTCATCAGTGCTTAAAAATAACAGACTGGGGACAGGGGATAAATATGCCAAGGCTCTTCTTTTTCTTTTTTTTTTTTTTTCTCAGTAAGAACTCTATCAAAATCATAGGGAAAGAAAAAAAATTCTAGCACACTGTCATACCAAAATTATGTGAATGCCTAACTCCAGGAGGATAATTACAGTACAACACAACCTGAAATCTTTTTCATCTGTCTGTCAGGATCTTTTTCCCATAGCAATGTTTTGCCAGAGGCCAGCACACGGCTTTAAAAACAAGCACTTTTTCTTCAAAGAGGATATCCATGATTACTGTATGATCTCAAGAACAACTGTAGAAGCTCTAGGTAAGATTTATCTTTGTCACTTGCCACGAGCACACAGCCCTGGTTTTGCAGCATCCTGCTCTGTGCCTGCATGCCCATCACCCAGCTCCAGGTGCAGTTTTTGGGAGGGCTCTGACACTGGGTTGGGATTTGTGGCTGCAGCATTCATAGTCTCATCCACGGGCCCCTGGGGGCTCTCCCTCCCTCTATTCTTGTCCTTTCTCCATCCTTTAAGGTTTTAGAAATGATTTCTGTTACCAGTGCTTTCATCCCATGTTTATGGGTCTCTCTGGATAAGAGCTTTCGTAGGGGAATGGGCCATTAAGATCTTAGGAGCCTATTTCATAAGGCACAGCACAGCACATACAGCCATACAGGTATTATTCACTTCTGGTCTAGAGCTATGGTTAGTTTGAGCAGTGAATCACAGCATCTTAGAAGATAAGCAGAAAAAAAAGGCAGGAAAGTATGTCAGAGAGGAAGGTATGAGCTGAAGCACACACACAAGCATCTTAAAATATCACAATATTCTCCATGGAAGCCAATACACAAACTGTGCTCAGAACACCATCAGAATATTTTCCAGAAATGGTAAGATAATTAAGTATAAATGGAATCTCTTGGAAACAGCTAAGTATTCGATGGCTTGGTTTCAATCTCTCTATAGAGATGCACAATTATGATTTTTATTAATTGTTTCCACAACGGAAAATTCCACCATCATTTAAGCCCCCAGAAATTTAGTCTCACATAGAAATATTTCCATACTTGAAATGAGTTTTCTGAGGGAAAAAAAAAAATAAATCTTTATTTCGGGTAGCAAATAAATCACAATTAATCTTTAAAAAAAATTATTTTAAAACTGAAACAAAACAGGGGACTCTCAAGGCTTGTTCTTAACCAACTGTACGGCTGGTGAAACATCTTTCAACAGATCTCAAATTTTCTATTGCAACATTTTCAGAGTAAATCAGTTTTTCTCCTTCGCATAATGCCGTCCTTCCCTCTTTTGTTTTATCAAGTTCAATCCATCAGCAGTCTCTGAGAGTAGATTGTAACCGAGAGAGGGTTGTTTGTATGAAATTACAAACTCTGGCTCATATTATGTGCTTGACTCATGCCTAAACTTGCCCAAGATAAGCCTATTAAATAACATTCCAGACAGCAGCTCTGCCCAAGGGAGACACTTGTCACTCCCTTGGAGGACTACCAGTGGGATGCAGGTCTGCTGCCCTGTGCAACCCTCAGCTGCCTCCTGTGGAAAATGGTCTGTGAGTATCAGAAATGCTGAGCAGGTGAACGAGATCAGAGGCTGCTACCGGAGCAGGTGACAGGGAGTCAGCATGAGCTACAAGAAGTTGGCTTCACTCCATCTGCCCTTTCTGGAGTGCAGGTGGGGTAAACTCATTAATTTAGGTTTCTCAGGGTCTGCTCGTGTAGGAAGCAGTGTCTACCAGGATGTTTCCATGTTTGCTAACATGATTGCTACCATATACTTGAGTTTAATACTTGAATGATTTCAATCCATCCTGTAGTTAGAAGGGTCATATGCTAAGCTTGCTATACACACACACACAGATATACACAGACACAATGTTAAATTAATTGTCTTACTGTCCTATCAAACCAAAATAAAGTAGAAGACCAGATCACAGGGGTGGATGTCCCATCCCTGGAAGTGTTTATAGCCACGTTGGATGGAGCTCACAGCAACTAGATCTGGTAGGTAGCAACCAGCTCACAGCGACGGAGTTGAAACTAGATGATCTTTAATGTTCCTTTCAGCCCAAGCCATTCAGTGATCATGCAGAGCCTTGGAAAAGCACACGTAAATGACTGATATGAGTTTGGCTGATCTTAGAGGTCACATCTTGTGTGGACCCAGTGTGCCTCAGACTTAAACCTAGAAATAGCCACTATAACGACGCCAGAAATGGGAGCACCTGTCAGACTGAATGATGTATTTATGACATTTAATAGTAATTAACCTGCACTTAGGACAAGAGCAGTCCAAGGGTGAGTTCCCAGCGTGACACAGTCCCCACATGTGCCACAACATGTCCCTGCCCAGCAGAACATGCAGTAGAAGAGGCACTGGCTCTGCAGCATGCAGGGCTCAGGCAAGACTCAGCATTTCAAAGGGAACTTTGACTTTGATAGAGAGTGAGAAGGGGCTTCTGGAGAGGGACCTGTGCTACAGAACAAGCCAGCATGTGCTTCACATTTCAGAAATGATATGCAGAAAAAGACTTCACAGATGAAAAAGGGAGGAGGGAAAGAAAAAAAGAAAAAAAAGCAGCCTACAAAGATCCTGGGCATCTCAGCTCTTTTTAAGGTAGCATTTTGGAACCCCATAGACACTATGACATTGCAGCCTGAAAACTGCAGTGTTCACAATTAAATATATATGTACACACTTTTTTTTCCCTATTTGGACGTATTTTGCAACATCTCCTGGGATGTGAAAGAATGCAATTATATGATCTTTAGCAAACGCAAATTTTATTAATCTGTCCTTTAGAGAGTAACCTTTAGAAATTACAAAATATGCTCCCCAGGCTTTCTTACCTTTTTTTCCCCTCTTTCACTGTTTTCTTGGACTTTCGAAGCAGATTTTTGTCGAATAGATCATACAGGATTATATGGTTATAGCTTGCTTTCATATATATCAAAAAGAAAATCAAAAATATGACCTCATATGTTAATAAATCAATTTTGGAATGCTGTTTTACACATATGCTCAAAACATGACCTCTTCCAAGTTCTCTTAGAGCAGAAATTTGGAGTTTAGATTTCAGGCACTTTAGCTTTAAGGATGCTGGGAATAACTTTATCTGGTAAATATTAAGTAAAACAATTTTTCATTCAAGTTTCACTTTACCTTCAGTGCTTTATTAAAGCTCACTCAAGAACACCGTTTTAGCTACACATGAATAAGCCTTAACCTTACATTATTCTAAAACTGAAACCAGTTTCATAATCTGTACTTCACCGCTTTTGAGTCATGAAGGAGTAAAGCAGAAGCAGCTTGAGTTTTATATATGCTCTTTTGCACTCTCAGAGGCAA